TTGCCAGCGCGACACGTACATTACGAGCCTCCTCTGCTTTGAGAGGATGCCGCGAATTGAAGTACTTCCATGCATCAGCATCGGATGGATGTACCATCTTCTCAGGATTGTATCGTGTGCCATTTTTGTGCCATGTCATCTGTTTTGTGGATTCCTCGGTCATGAATAGCCATTGGAGCCTCAGTAGGAACGGAAGGTGTCGTATGACTCTCATGGGGATCTTAAGCTGCCTCTTCTGGCCATCGCCTGAGTCTACCTCCACGTACCTAGAGGATTTACACTTCGGGCTGTACTTTGCATCTGCGTGTTCTTTCCTAAATAGGACGCACCCCTTTGGACACACATGTATCTTGTCATACAACATCTTAAGTGCAAGAAGGAGCTTCTCTGACTCGTACAAGTTCTTCGGCATAATGTGTGTCTTCGGTAGCATATCGCTCCACACGGCCACCATCTTGTCGAAGCCTTCTCGACTTAGGTTTAACTCGGCCTTCAACCCCATTACGCGACCAATGGCATCCACCTGAGAAACATTAGTATGATCATGAAGGGGTCTCTGTGCCGAGTCCAACATCAGGTAGAAGGCATCTGCGGCAGCCTCCATCTCCTCCTTGTCACGTCCTTTAGCGAACTGAGCTTGGTGCGTGTCATCCAGCATGTCTGCTACCCCGACATCATCATCGAAAGCCTCAAGCCGTGGTCTCACCACCTCCTCCCTGATACGATCGGCTTCACCATGGTGGATCCACCGGTGGTAGCCCGGAGTAAATCCAAACTTCACAATATGTTTACCCATGGTTAACCTATCTTTCCTTCTTCTGTTGTCACAACCGCTACACGGACAAACCACTAGAGAATGGCCTCCAGCACTCTCGCCAAATGCATGCTGTAAGAATTCTTCGACCTTGACTATAAACAGCAAGTCGTAATCGTGCTCGTCTCTCCAGAGCGTGTACATCCACTCATGGTCCTTCATCCTTTAACAGACGTATCAGCACATATGATTCACCATCAATTGCATCTACACGGTGTCCCTACTCTCTAATAGTTGAGGATAGGTCCTAATCCCACCCGTGGATCCGTAGATGATGTTAGTTTCCATGCTACGCTCCTATCCGAGACGGAATTTCGGTAGCACCTCCCTGCTGTTCTCTCGATAAAGCTCTTGACGTCTTCTCTGAATGGATGGTCAAGAGGGAGGAATTGACGATGTTTGTCGAACGACGAATACTTGCCACCCTTCTTCAACCATATGAACCTCACAGCTTCCTTGCATATTGGGCATGGGAACTTCCCCTGAACACACCAGGCGCACATTAACCCGTACGCCAGGAAGTCATGCAGGGAGTAGTGGTACCAGACGTGCATTTTGAAGCTAGTCTTCATAGCTCGGTCGTATGTCCACACCCCTTTGACCCAAGCATCGATCAACTCATCTATCACAGGCTCCATGAAGACACCCATATTACTCCCCGGGTGTCCAGGGATTATCAACGACAGGAACACGGTATGCCGTTGAAAGGAGACATCGGGGGGGGGGAGATTCAGGGGGATGACGAACACGGGCCAACATGTGTATAGTGCAGCCATCATGCCATATGGATTGAACCCATTTGTTGCCAGCGCGACACGTACATTACGAGCCTCCTCTGCTTTGAGAGGATGCCGCGAATTGAAGTACTTCCATGCATCAACATCGGATGGATGTACCATCTTCTCAGGATTGTATCGTGTGCCGTTTTTGTGCCATGTCATCTGTTTCGCGGATTCCTCGGTCATGAATAGCCATTGGAGCCTCAGCAGGAACGGAAGGTGTCGTATGACTCTCATGGGGATCTTAAGCTGCCTCTTCTGGCCATCGCCTGAGTCTACCTCCACGTACCTAGAGGATTTACACTTCGGGCAGTACTTTGCATCTGCATGTTCTTTCCTAAATAGGACGCACCCCTTCGGACACACATGTATCTTGTCATACGACATCTTAAGTGCAAGAAGGAGCTTCTCTGACACATACAAGTTCTTCGGCATAATGTGTGTCTTCGGTAGCATATCGCTCCACACGGCCACCATCTTGTCGAAGCCTTCTCGACTTAGGTTTAACTCGGCCTTCAACCCCATTACGCGACCAATGGCATCCACCTGGGAACCATTAGTATGATCATGAAGGGGTCTCTGTGCCGAGTCCAACATCAGGTAGAAGGCATCTGCGGCAGCCTCCATCTCCTCCTTGTCACGTCCTTCAGCGAACTGAGCTTGGTGCGTGTCATCCAGCATGTCTGCTACCCCGGCATCATCATCGAAAGCCTCAAGCCGTGGTCTCACCACCTCCTCCCTGATACGATCGGCTTCACCATGGTGGATCCACCGGTGGTAGCCCGGAGTAAATCCAAACTTCATAATATGTTTACCCATGGTTAACTTATCTTTCCTTCTTTTGTTGTCACAACCGCTGCACGGACAAACCACTAGAGAATGGCCTCCAGCACTCTCGCCAAATGCATGCTGTAAGAATTCTTTGACCTTGACTATAAACAGCAAGTCGTAATCGTGCTCGTCTCTCCAGAGCGTGTACATCCACTCATGGTCCTCCATCCTTTAACAGACGTATCAGCACATATGATTCACCATCAATTGCATCTACGCGGTGTCCCTACTCTCTAATAGTTGAGGATAGGTCCTAATCCCACCCACGGATCCGTAGATGATGTTAGTTTCCATGCTCCGCTCCTATCCGAGACGGAATTTCGGTAGCACCTCCCTGCTGTTCTCCCGATACATGTCCTGCAAGGGAGAGTGTGTATCCGGAGAACAACAGGGGGGTGATGCCGAAACACCGTCTCGGACCGGAGCGGACCATGGAAACTAACCCATCTACGCATCCGCGGGCTGTCCAAAAAATGTGGACAATCCGAAACAGAAACGCTCGTAGATATGCAAAGATCTGCATACCTCCAAACATATCTCTTTCGGACGGGAGACGCCTAACTAGGCTAAACCGATCTACGACGACAGACAAGCAAAAAAAGAGGTGATTTATACCTAGGGTGTCGGTGAAGTCAGGCTAGCGAGGCAGTGGCGAGGCGACGCAGTGCAGGCAGACCCGCGACGCCGACGAAGATGATCGGGGACCTCCGGGTCACCTCCGACAGGTCCTGCTCTACAAAAGAAGAAACACGAGACTATAAGTTCAAAATTTCGGCAGCACCTCCCCTGCACGGGGAGGTTTCCAAAACCTGCAAAAAACAACGGCACGAAGGCCGACAATCACAAACGGCACGGAGGTCAATAAGCACAGCGGCACGAAGGCCGACATCATAATGGCACGAAGGCCGACAATCACAAACGGCACGAAGGCCGATAAGCACAGCGGCACGAAGGCCGACATCACAACGGCACGAAGGCCGACAATCACAAACGGCACGAAGGCCGATAAGCACAGCAGCACCAAGGCCGAGCGGAGAAAGGGTGGATATACCTTGCCCACGCTCGTAGGCGGTTCGGTGACGGTAGGGGCGTCGGCAGGACGGGCTGCGGAGAAGACGGTCGAGGCACCTCCTCCTCCCCTCCACCTCGGCTTCCTCCCCCTCTCCCCCTCTCCCCTTCTCCTCCTCCTCCTTCCTTTTTCTTCTCTTTTTTCCTTCTCCTTCTTCCTTTTCCTTCTCTTTCTTTCTCCTCTTTTTTCTTCCTTCTTCCTTCTTTTCCTCCCTTCTTCTTCTTACTGCTGCTTCCTCCTCCTCCTTCCAAGCCGGCGGCAAGACCAGGGGAGCACGGGCGGCGGGCTAGGCGCGATGGGAGGAGGACGGCAGCACGCCCGGCGCAGTGGCAAGACCTTGTGCGACGGTGGCGGCGGGTCGTGTGTGACGGGGGCAGCATACCGGGAACCCATGCTGACCGGGCCGGGGTCTCTGGGTTTTTGGCATCCGACGTCACAACTTGCTTGAAACCTTCACAATTTTTTACCACAGCCTCCAAATGCGATAACACGACGCCTCGACAAGTTTCATGATTTTCGGACTTCGTTTGCATTTTATATAATTTAAAATCACATTTCCGGCAAGTACCTCGACATGTTACATCAACGAGATGCTCGAGATTTCATGTGAGTTCCTGGATACGGCCTAAACATACCCTAAATATCATGAGTATCAATTTTTGGATGACCAAAGTCCATTATTCCATGTACCTGCAGTTCAAATTTGAAATATCCCAAAAAATTCGACGAAACGAAATAAACTAATGAAATATATCAAAAAAAGTCAAAATTGCCCCAAATTTTAAAATAGAGTTTGAAATACTGTCACAAGGCCACAAGAAAAAATTTGGGCCCAAAAAAAAAAAAAATTTCCGAGTGCCATAGCGGGCACTCGGCAAAGTGGACTTTGCCGAGTGCCGGCCCCGGGGGCACTCGGCAAAGTTGATTTTCAAAAATAAAAAAAAATTGCCGAGTGCCTGGCGCTGACACTCGGCAAAATAAGTTTTTAAAAAATAATAAAAAATTGCCGAGTGCCTGGGGCTGGCACTCGACAAAATAAGTTTTTAAAATAAAAAAAAAATTTGCCGAGTGCCATCCGTTAGGCACTCGGCAAAATGTGACGGCAGGTGGCCGCCGTCACGGGCCGGCCACCTTTTGCGGAGTGGAACTTTTGCCGAGTGCGGCGGCACTCGGCAAAGCCCAGATTTGCCGAGAGCCAGGGTTTGCCGAGTGCCTGGCACTCGGCAAAGCCACCTTTGCCGAGTGCTTTATTTTGCCGAGTGCGGCACTCGGCAAAATATTTATTTGCCGAGTGCCCCGATAAAAAACACTCGGCAAAGTCTCATGCACTCGGCAAAGTACAGTTTTCTAGTAGTGAGGGATTCTGTCCACTACTCAAGGGATCAAGGGTACGACCTAGAATCAATCGACATATATATCTTTGATGAGCTTTGCTAATAGTATTGATTAAAAAATTTATTAACCACAAGAGATAAATAAATACATTTATTTTAATCGATTCGTGCAGAGCATTATTGTTGCCACAAAGATTGGCCCATGGGGTGGAAACGGAGGGTCGGCTCAAGACATCACAGAGCCACCAAAGCGCCTGGAGAGCATCACCCTTAGCGGTGGTTCGGTTGTTGATTCCATTGCGTTTTCTTATGTTGATCAAGCTGGTCAGAAGCACACTGCAGGTCCATGGGGCGGTCCTGGTGGAAATCCTAATACGGTAAGCAACCCAGTAGATGTAGATTTGCAGATCTCCCAGGGAATAAACACTGACTAGTCTCCTTGCACGCAGATCGAGCTCTCGGACTCTGAGTTCGTGAAGGAAGTTTCTGGAACTTTCGCTGTGTATGCGGGAGTAGTCAATGTCATAAACTCAATTAAGCTTGTCACCAACGTGAAGACGTACGGACCTTTCGGTCTGGAGAACGGGACTTCATTCAGTGTCCCCGTGCAGGGCAACAGTGGTGTCGCTGGCTTCTTCGGGCGCAGCGGCAAGTTCCTGGATGCTATTGGTGTCTATGTGCATCCGATCTGAACAGCAGCCAGCTGCTACTCGTCGTCTGGTTTCATTCAGGCCTCCTGTTTAATCAGTTTTCATGAAATAATGAATTCAGAGGGTTGTCACTCACCATTCATATGCTGATAGTCCACCTGTGTCGTTGTGCCCTGCTGGATTGAGTGTAGTTCAAGTGTTTTCGTCGATGTACTGTGTTGTCTTTTGTGTCTAATGAAAGTCTCCATGAGAGATTGTCCGAGATGTTATCAAGATGATATGTCAATGGAGTGGTTACTTACATGAGCTTGTAGATGAACTCAGCAACAGACGACAGTGTCTTCCTGTTCCTGCTCATGATACACAATGGAACTGGGAGTGCCTACCGCATTGGGGTGGGGGTTCATTCTCTAGCCTTCTCGCATCCGAAATTATACACCTTGACATATGTTGATCCCACAATGTTTAGTCCACCTACATTTATCGTGGTGCACCTGTATCTTAAACCAGCAGCTTCAAGTTCCAATTTTAGTCCGATCCTATTGTTGTAACCATCGAAACTAGGAACTTGTTGCGAAGAAAGAGCTACGAGGAAACTACACTACTACACTAAACTTAACCGACGCAGGCATAATGGATTAACCGAGGTGGGCATCACAACCGCCTCGGCCAAAAGGTCACGGTAAACAAATCTTTACCGAGGCGGTTAAAATGCCTGTCTCGGTAAATCAAATAAAAAAAAAAAATTAAAGCCCACAGCCGCTGGGGGAGCCCTCTAGATCCGTCTCCACACCTTCTGGATCCGCCACCGGAGAGGCCCCTCCCGCCCCCGCCGGATCTGGACGCCGTTGCCTGCAGTTGGGGGAGGGGCGCCGCCAGATCTGGATGTCGCTGAGGGAGGAGCACCAGCGGTTGGGGGAGGAGCCGTAGGGGCCACATCGCCGCCAGATCTGGCCGTAGGGGCCGTGCCACCGCCGGATCCGGCCGTTGGGGCCGCACCGCCGCCGGATCCGGGCTCCTCCTCGCCGGACCAGGTGGTGGCCGCCGGGATCCACCTCCGTGCTCCTTCGGCTGCCAAGATACGCCATGCTCCAGCATGAGAGAGAGATAAAGAGGGAGAGGCGTGAGAGAGCTAGCCGTCGCGTGCGATAGAGACAGAGAGGGAGAGGGTGGTGCGAGCGCCGCACGGCGGAGAGGATACGGAGGCGATGCGGGGAGAGGGAAGCGCGAGCGCAGCGGAGAGTGGGAGACGCGAGCGCCGCGTGGCTCGGGGCTGAGGGCGCCATATGGGGTGAGGGGCTTCTGAGTGTGGATAAAAGTGAGCTTGGATTTGAGTGCTCTTATATATAGTCAGAGATGGTAGTGGGCTTGGGTTGGCTAGCGGGCTGGGCCTAATTAACGAAGGCGGTTGCCTTATAAATACCGACTCGGTAAATCGATTTTGTGAGGCAGTTACTTTTGACCGCCTCTGTTAATAAAAGTGACCGCCTCGGTTAATACCAGCCATTAACCGAGGCGGTTTGAATGCGCGCCCGCCTTGGAGGCCATTTTCCAAATGCCTCGCATAAGTTTTTCTGTATTAGTGCTAAGAGGAAAATTGGTATTATATTCATTTTAGAAAATATTGTAATGCATGTTTAAGACCTTAAATGATTTCAAATTAAGAAACTTTAAACTATAAAGTTTTAGATCCTTTAGAGTACTACAAATATTGGTTTAGATCATTTCTCCGTCAGAGATCATTTTTAAAATTCAAAAAAAATATATAAAACAAAGTTTATTGGCCTTAAATAATTTGAAATGAAAAAATGGACTGCTACAAAGTTTCATATCTCTTCCAATACTACAACACTGGTTTAGTTTCTCCACCCAAGGTTCATTGAAAAAACAAAAAAATAAATTTCAAATTATAAAAACTTCAAATAAAATTTCATCCACTAAATAATTTTACATAAAAAATAGTCCACTACAAAGTTGTAGAGATCCCATCTAATGCTACCACTTTTTTGTAGATCTTTTCTCCACCCCAGGTCATTTGAAAAATTCAAAACAATTGAATTTCCAAATTAGAAAACTTTAAACAGTTTTTTCATGGACAAATGAATTTGAATGAAAAAGTCAACTACAAAATTGTTTATCTTTTGAAGTACTATAAAGTTTGTCTTCATATCCAACCTTACATGCAAAAGTTATGAATTTACTGTGCTCCAACTATTTTTTCGAGGAGGGCCAATTTGACAACCATCTCTGAAAATCTATTTCTAGAGATAGCTAGAATTGCAGCCACGTCTAGAAATGCCTCAGTTTCTAAAAGAGGCTGCAAGCCGAACTGCCTCTAGAAATGCCATTTTTAGAGGCAGTTTAGCTTTCCAGCCACCTCTAAAAATATAGACGCTTCTAAAAATTAATTTTTAGAGATAAGCCACCTCTAAAAATACAACTTTGACTAAACATCTCCTCTTATCCATTGAAGTTTAATTGAATTTCCCAGCTCCTATATCAATGTGTGCATTTGGGGTGCTGAGCAAGGGCCTTCAGAGGATGAGTGTCTTCGTGTTGACCTCGGTGGGGACAAAGAAGTTTTGTACCGGTGATCTCCGTGGGTAGCAAACCGTTTGGTGCTAGCTACAAGCACATATATGTATGATGTTTGTATTAATGATAAGAGATTGTTCCTAGCTGTGCCCTTCACTACGAGAATCAGTGGCTTTGCCGAGTGCCAGGGGCACTCGACAAAGCCCAATTTGCACTCGGCAAAGGCTTTGCCGAGTGCTGCACTCGGCAAAGAACACTTGGAAAATAATCCGTCGGCAAAGGCGTCTTTGCCGAGTGTCTTTTGTCGGGCACTCGGCAAAGTTGAAACCGAAAAAAACCCGAAAAAATGGGAATTTTTACCCAAAAAAAATGTAATTTTTTTTTTATCGATGGAGGCCCCCACCGGCCAGCGCCCACCCATCACCGACATTTTTCGCCATGGCTACGCGGCCGACGTGATTCGAACCCGAGACCTCCCGCTGTGCACGAACCTCCTCTACCACTACAGCACAATCTCACTTGTGTGTGGATTCCGTTTTAGTTCCCAATATGTTATACTAAACCGAGTGTAAATTGCATGTTTGAGGCACTAAACGAATTCAAATAAAAAAGTTATAAACTATAAAGTTTCATAACTTTTCGAGATCTACACTTTTAGTTTAGGAAGTTTTTCCATCCGAGGTCATTTACAAAATTTGAATTTTAAAATTTTAAAATTCAAACGCAGTTTTGCATGACAAGATGTTTTCAAATCAAAAAGTTGTCAACTACAATGTTTCATAACTTTTCGAGATCTACAGAGTTTATTTTGGTTGTTTTTTCATCCGAGGTCGTTTGAAAAGTTCGAATTTTAAAATTTTGAAATTCAAATGCAGTTTTGCATGACAAGATGTTTTCAAATCAAAAAGTTGCCAACTACAATGTTTCATAACTTTTCGATATCTACAGAGTTTATTTTGGTTGTTTTTTCATCCGAGGTCATTTGAAAAGTTCGAATTTTAAATTTTTGAAATTCAAACACAATTTTGCATGACAAGATGATTTCAAATCAAAAAGTTGCCAATTACAAAGTTTCATAACTTTTCGAGATCTACAAAGTTTATTTTGGTTGTTTGGTCATCTATTCATCCGACATGGTCTATCTAACATTGTTCACAAATCTTATATATCTCTCTTGTAGTTTCATAAACTACAAGAGAGATATGTTAGATTTGTGAACAAATTTATTTTCACTTTGTCGTATGAAGAAAATACCAAAACAAACATTGTACATCTTGATGAGTTATACAACTTTGTAGTTGAAATCTGTTTCATTTGAATTAATTTACTGTTTTAAAATGTGCTTTGAAATTTTCTTTGCCTAGTGCAGAAAGAAGCTTGTCAAAAAAAAAACACTCGGCAAAAAGTTTTTTTTGCCAAGCTTCTTTGCATGTTTGAGGCCCTAAACGAATTCAAAAAAAACACTCGGCAAAGTAAAGATCTTTTTTTTAGGAAGCCAAGTGTAAATTGAATTTTAAAATGTTTGAGGCCCTAAGATGAATTCAAATAAAAAGTTGTAAACTACAAAGTTTCATAACTTTTCGAGATCTACACTTTTAGTTTAGGAAGAAAAGTTCGAATTTTAAAATTTTTTCCCATCCTTTTGCAGACAAGTCGTTTTTTACAAAATTTGAACTTTTTAAAATTTTAAAATTCAAACGTTGAATTTTTTTGCATGATTCAAAAGATGATTTCAAATCAAAAAGTTATCAATTACAAAGTTTCATAACTTTTCGAGATCTACAAAGTTTATTTTGGTTGTTTGATCATCTGTTCATCCGACATGGTCGTTCTAACATTGTTCACAAATTTATATATCTCTCTTGTAGTTTCATAAACTACAAGAGAGATATGTTAGATTTGTGAACAAATTTACTTTCACTTTGTCGTATGAAGAAAAGACCAAAACAAACATTGTACATCTTGATGAGTTATACAACTTTGTAGTTGAAAACTTTTTCATTTGAATTAATTTACTACTTCAAAATATGCTTTGAAATTTTCTTTGCCGAGTGTAAAAAAACACTTGGCAAAGAAGCTTCTTTGCCGAGTCTTTTGCCAAATGAGTGTTTGAAAAAAACATTCAAATAAAAAAGTTGTAAGCAAAGTTTCTTTCGAGATCTACACTTTTAGTTTAGGAAGTTTTCCCATCCGAGGTCGTTTACAAAAAACACTTTTGAAATTCAAACGCAGTTTTGCATGACAAGATGATTTCAAAGAAAAGTTGTCAATTCAAAGTTTCATAACTTTTTGAGATCTACAAAGTTTATTTTCAAAAAACACTCGGCTCTCTTGTAGCATAAACTTTGCCAAGTGTAGTTGAAAACTTTTTCATTTGAATTAATTTACTACTTCAAAATATGCTTTGAAATTTTCTTTTGCAGTGTAAAAAAAAACACTCGGCAAAGAAGCTCTTTCTTGAGTGTCAAAAAAAACACTTCGGCAAAAACAACACTCGCAAACCTCGGCAAACCACCTGGCACTCGGCAAAGAGCCGGTCTCCGGTAGTGCTTCATGTTTCAAATTGAAGAAATGATTGGGTAAGATAAATTAGCATGCAATTAACTCCATAAACACCAAATATGGATGATGATTTAATATATCATTTTTGTTGAATTAATGTATGATCTTAGAGTGTCGATCATTTAAGAAATCGGTAATTTAAAATCAACAATCTCTAAACAATTTAAATCTATGTAGTCAGATTCCTCATGTGGCCGCTGTCACCAGATTATTGATTTGGACGTGGCGAAAGAGCTTGTAGCCTAGTGGTTCCAAGTGCTTAGTAGCACCTCCAGATCCTGGATTCAAGGATTTTATTGAGCTTGCAAGGTTGAGATCTTATTCTACCTTAATAACATTACCATGAGAATGGTCATACCCTAGCAGATGGAGTTTTTTTTATCCTATCAATGCATCCACAATGAAATATGGGATCCATCCAAAATTTTATCGGCCAATTTACAATCTACGGTTTCTACACAGTTTGTGAAACAAGTTTCATAATTTTCTGAGGTAAAACAAATTTTCTATGAATTTTCTAAGATTAAGCCAGATTTTAGAATTTTTAATTGCATAATTTTTCCATGTAACATGTTTGGATAAATTTATGAAAAAATATTTTTATGATTTTCGGATATTTTCTAAAAAATATTTCTAGGTTATTTACCTCTGAACTTTTAACTTGGTTCGAGTTACGGTCCACGTGGCTCAAATCAGCAGAACCGCCATAAAACCACACAATGTGTAAAATTGGACGATCGATAGATGAGAGAGATAAATTGGATTTTTTTTCCATAAAAATGATGCAGAAGTCGAGGCCAATGGCTTCTCTGGGCCCAAAGTCAAACGCAAAATGATGCACAGGGCGTGGCCAATGGCGCTTCGCTGGACCCAAATTCAAAACGACGCGCTAGCCGCCGGCGGCGGTGCCCATATAAAACCTAAGCTGCACGCAACTATTACGACACCACGGTGCAGTTTCCACGCTACTCAATTTTGATATATTTTGATGAGGAGGAAAATATTGATAGAGACGACGCCACTGCAAGGTGCATGCATGAAAATTATTGTAGTTTACATCAACCGCTAGCGTGCTTATAACCAGTGACAACTAGTCCATCAACCCATGTTCTCGTACCGGCTAGAATTTTAAGAAATATAAGAATTAGTTACTGTATAATACATCTAACTAATCAAAAACTATTTATATAAAATTTTATGTCTTTTTGTTTATTTTCTTAAAACATAGACATAATAAATACTCTATATCTCGTTATCATAAACTTATAAGTTACCGTTTTGTGCATGGGACAAATCCATATGTTTTTTATCCATATTTATATTTTTTTGTTATATGGCACTTCTATAAATTTTAAACTTGCAATTAGTCTAAAACCTTGCCATTAACTATGGTGGCCCCTATTGCATCATATATTTTATGAAGTCATGAATCTAAATTTTAATTTTTCAAATTTTATTCTTATTGACCACTACAGACTTTTTTGTCCTCAAGTTAGTTAGAGCACTTGTGCTTATTGTATCTTTTATTAACTCTATGCACTTTTTTAAAGTAAGGATTTTAGGTCACAGACTATATTATTAAATACTATAGGAGTATAAATGATCATTTGAAATATGCACCATGGCACTTAAGATAAGTGGTAGAGCTTGAAGTGAGACCTCGGATGGGGTAGCCGTGCCAAACTAAAGAGAATTTTAATCCTTAAGTTAAGTCTAATAGTGATCCACTTTTTACTTTAAAGTAATATTAAAGGTCGGAAAATATAGCCACTAGTGGTCTTCCACACTTCTCAAGATGATTGAATTTTTATACCAAGAAAATATATGTGCATCTATGGTAATACTACAAATATAGACATATCAAACATTATAATTAAAATATATAAATATATCTAAAGTAACAATCTATATAAATTATATGTCATGGCTACAAATATGGTTTTAAACAATTTATTAGCATCATTAGTATATGAGTTATTAATGAAATATTTTTATGTCATTAAATAAACATATATATTTATCGTTCATGCATGCTGGCACGACGCATATGTTTACTTTAATCAAATCTTAATATATTAATGTTTTTAGAAGTGGGTAGTGTAGGCGCATATATATGTTCTATGGTTATTTAAGCATTTTTTTGTAATAGAAGATGTTGATAATTTAGATGTAATTTTGAGAGGATTTATATGTTTTCTAATATTGAGATGAAAATTGAGTTATATAAATTATCTATCGTAATAGAAGGACATGAGTAATTAGATGCAAATTTAGGTCTACTTTAGATTATGTTTCTTAACAGCATGGTTGGGTAGTTTAAATATAGAGCCGTGAGTTACTTTATATTATTTTGCGCAATCATAGAGGTGAGTAATTATTTAGAAAACAGAACACATCCAATAGCTGCTATTATCTTTGGTGATTAGGTTATACTGAATTGACGGTCAGATGTTTCTGATTTTTATGAGAATTTCTATAATCTATATTTTGTTTTTCTGTCAATACTTGTGGGGATTAACATGGACCGGCTCCATTCGTGGTTTCAAGTTAGATTTTCTAGTATTTATCTTTTTATGTATTTAGTTGAAACCTAATGTTAAGATATATAAGCTCTTCTTGCATCCCTTTCTTTGACTTCATAGCTTTCAAATTTAAATCAAGTTGTTGCAATTTTTTCCACATGTTAAGCAAAACTCAAGTTTTTTTATTTTTTATTAAATGTTTTCATTAAAAAGAGTTTAGGTCCTAGTAGTATTTTTTTTCCACATGCTAAGTTAAAATTTAGCTTTCACTGTGGAACTAAACATGTTGAATTTGTCATCTCATATTATATGTAGTAGTTTTATATATCATACAATGGTTAAAAATAAATCACCAATATTGATATAACATAATGTTTAAGTTAAAATACATAAACTTATTTCAAATAACAACTTATGAAGTTGATTATCTATTAATATAAATTAAAGTGAATTGTCAGTGTTATTGCTATGTGGTTTGTTAGGTGAACATTTTTCCATGCTTCATAAGTATTAAAATAAATAATTATCTAATACATGTTTACTTGGTATGCATGTTGAAACATACTTCGTAGTAAGTACTTTGGTTATTTGAATTCACGGTTCTAGAAGTTTGTAAATAGAAATATATATGTCTCATGCTTTTGGATATTAATTTATTTTTATTGAAGTATATTAGTATTAACATGTAGATTTTAAGAGATATTTTTGCTTATAATGCCTGAGGTAGATATATGTAAATGTAACAGTAATATTTATAGAGTTATGCTCCAGTGGTCCTTCTAAAAAACTTTGCACGAATCTTAAAGCACTATGGTAATTAATAATTATTTTTTGGTATGGATCTGGATTTGGGCTAGCCCTACCCAGGTTCAAACCAAGCCCAGTGCCTATATATTGAGTCCACTCCATTCTTTTTGAGTCCGATTCTTCATCGAGTTGCGCATCGTTTCAACGTCCAACACTGAGTTTTGGGCATTTTTCTATATTTTTAATTATGTCAACAAGAATCAAGTATCTCCGTCATATTCTCAAAATCCAGGTGTCGAAAACATACTACTACTGAAAGTCAATTTATTGCATCTCTAGAATAATCAAGCAAAGAGGCCGGATCTCGGATTACTTGACTAGGACAACGGCCATTGTTGCCTGTTCGAGAGCTCGGCAGCAGTTCTAGATCTCCTCGGTATCGGGTCAGCGGAAGGATGGGAAATAACGGGGAAAACTCCCGACTTGGAGATGAAAAGTGAAAGGAAGGAACTTATCTCTCCGTGGTCCGGCTCGACAAAAGGCTCAGCAATGGTGACGGACGTCGGAGGCGGCGCAGCAGTCATGCTCTCTGTCGTGTGTTACTGTGCCGTCCAGCCTAATGCCGTTGCTGCCATAGGCTGGGGATGGGCCGCGGCGAATGTAGCCTCGGTATCGGTAGCTGATGGCTGCTGATGCCGCCGCCGTCGTCGGCCATGCACTGACGCACTCGATGTTCCCGTTCCCGTTGTGCGGCTCGGGCGGATCGACAAAACCGATCGGACTCAAAACAGTGCTGGGCGGTTCCACGTTGTGCGTAGGGCCAGCCCGAATCCAGATCCATACCAGAAAAAAAAATTATTAATTACCAGGGCGCTTTAAGATCTGTGCAAAGTGTTTTAGAAGGACCACCAGAGCAAAACTCATATTATCTTTCACAACAACGTATATATATACATAGGTTGAATGCAAACTTAGGATATTACTTTTGCTTTATCTAGATATAAATTTTATGTCAAGAATCTCAACAACATTTGAAAATCAATAGTCCAAGATACAAATGTGTCAGAGATATGGGCCAGAGGTACCTGCACCGCCCGTATATATATGACTACCACCGAGCTATCGGCCCAGCAGCCGTCAAGGAGGAGGCCCGCAAGGGCTAACGCGATCAACCAACGTGGAGATCAAGGCAAGCCAAGGCGGGTGTATCTGGACGATAGCTAGGATCAATCTGTTGCGCATATCGTATAACAAACTAGGAACGCAAGCTGTTATCCCGATCGTCCTCTCTGTAACCCTACGTCTCCTACCTATATAAAGGAGGATAGGGACCATGGGCACGGGATCCAATCGTCCACAAATTCCATGTACCTCGTAGCTAGGAGTAACAGCCCCTGTTATTGAGCATACGAATATAAGAGGAGTCGCACTACTGGAGTAGGGTTTAGCGCGCACCACGCCCCTAACCAATATAAATCTCTATGTCTCGTGTGCTACCCTCTGATTCTGTCTATACAATCACGTTGCTGGATATTACCAGAGCAAAACAATCCGACAAAATATATGACATAAGACAAAGGTAATACAACGTATAAAAAAAACGATCGAGCAATAGTAACTACTCGAATGTTTTCTGACTCGATTTTGTAACACGAAAGTGAACGTGCCTAAAGTCGCGCGTCTGCTGCAGACAGGGAGTGGCAGCAGTTCTTGAAGATGTCCATTGCTTGGCTGAAGAGAGGGACGTAGGCGTCGACACTGCCATCGCCGGAGAAAGACGACACGATGAAAATAACGCCCTCCACCGGCGGGTAACTTGGCATGAAGAAGAATGGCGGCCCACAGCCGAAGTCAAAGCCCTGGAACGGGAGCCCCGGCAGGCTTTGCACCTGGACGTTCGGGCTCAGCATCGTCTCCGACGGGTCTACCTCTGCCGTCGGCACCAGCCCTTCCTCCTCCACTACCCCGGAGCTTGCGAAGTCTATGAAGGACCTGAAATAGGCGTCGTCCATGGCGGCCACCGCCTTGGACACGACCTCCACGACTTCCCGGAGGGGTCTCCTAACCAGGTAGCCCGCGGTCGTGGTCGTCCGCGCCCAGAGCACGACGTTGCCGGTGTACCCTTCGGGCACTCGCGGATAATGCATCCGCGCGCGCCCGTTCACGGAGATGCGGAGCTCGGTACCCGTGCACCCGTCTAGCCTGCGCGCCTTCGTGACGCACCGCCACAGGTGCGCGGCCACGCACTGGAGCGTGCTGTACGGCCCCGGCGCCCCCGCGGACGCCCGTTTCTTGAGCTCGACGACGAACTCTCGGCTGAAGTTCACCCTATGCATCACCACCTTGTCGTCGACATTGCTCCTTGACTTCCTGCTGCCGGCCTGCGTCTGCGTGCGAGGCTGCTTGTACTCGGCGCCGCGGTGCTCGAACTCGACGCGGGGCGGGTCCCGTCGCACGAAGAAGGACACGCGGTCGTGCACGGGCACGGGGTCGATGGCGGCGCCGCGCGTGGCCTGGCCCCAGGCGTTCACGAAGCTGCGCAAGGCGAGGCCGTCGGCCACGAGATGCTGCGCGGCCGTGCCCACGACGAAGGAGCCGCAGGTGAACCGCGTGACCTGCACAAGCATGAGCTCTCCGTCGACGTCGACGGCGTCATCGTCCTCACCGCTCGGGTGCAGGCTCAGCGTCTCGGAAGTCGCTGGCTGCAGCGGCATGACGCTGTCGAGCGGGACGTCGGCCGTGGCCTCGACGAAGCACGCGCCTGCGCCGTTGAGCAGGATGGCGCGGTTGCCACGTGCGTCGAAGCCGAGCCGCCCGGCCCACTCTGGGTACTCGGCCAGCGCTGCGGCGAGCCCGGCCTCAAGAACAGAGCTCGGCGGCGCTGGCGGGCGGAAGAAGTATAAGCCATAGGCGTAAAGGTCGTAGTTCACCTTGTCGAATACCGTGAGCGGAACAGCCTCGGGATCGCCGGAAGGACGACCGCCGCTGCAGCTGGGCGTGACGACCTTCGACGACTGCACGGTGATCTTCATCGGAAGGATTATTATTGATATGCCTTCAACGATAGCAACGCACGGGCACGCATATGTAGCCACGATGGTTTGCTTGGCCGCGCAGCTGTCACTAGTAAGTTATGGATGTAAGGTACAATAATGGAGATTTTCTGTAATAGTCTAATTAGGAGAAGCAACACGAGGTAAATAAATATAGGTTTGTGATCGCAACAGCAGAGATTATGTGATCCGATCGAGTACTTTTTAATTATGTTTCTTGTTCGCCTAATCCAGCTATTTATGCTGTTCAATTCATATAGTATGGTACTATAGGAAGGGAGGAAAAAGAAGTCGGGTGCATTTTTAGAATTTTTGGCGCGTTTGTAGTAAGCTTACAAAGACCGCTATCCCCCCAACTGCCACCCTGTCCGTCTCCTCCTCAAGTGCTGCTATCGGTGTGCAAGCCGCCACTCACCCCCGACAAGCTAGTGCTCCGCGCCAGTACGCCTCACCGGCACGCCCGCATGGATCCACCGGTGACCAGGCTGGTACTCATCATCGTCGTGGCCTCTCGAGCTCACTGCCGTAAGATCCAAACACTACTACAGAATGGACTTGTTGTCCCGGACGGTAACGGCCTTTAGTTCCGGTTACCGCGCCGGGACAACGATCCCGGGACTAAAGGTGCCACCTTTAGTCCCGGGTCATCGAGCCGGGACCAACCGGGACTAAAGGTCCTCCAGCCGAGCAAACGTGGCCGCATCCTTTAGTCCCGGTTGGTAACCCCAACCGGGACTAAAGGTTCCTTTTCCTTTTTTTTTGTTTAATTTGTTTTCAGTTCAGTTACACATATTTGTTTAATATATAATATGTTTTTATGTACGTATTCTACGCTGCTAATATAAATACACGCACGCATATAATTACATCTAATTCTCGTCTCGAGCATTATTATATTCGAATAAAGTATGAAACTATATATATTATAGATATATATATATATATATGTATATATACAACACTTTCATAATCTTGTTCTCGAAAATAACGATATCAATAAACATTTAATTTACACCATTTATTTCTTAGGATCAAAGTAGAACTCACCGTTGGGATTTAGCACTTTTTCTAGAAGAAATCCTGCTATTGACTCTTGAACTGCTTTTAGATGGTCTTTTTGCATGACCCTTCGTTTCAACCATTCAGTCTTGCATTTGAAATAAAAGGAAAAGTATTAATACATATATATATATATATATATATATTCATTTAAAAATAAATAAAAATTTGATATATACGTACTTTGAGGACATCTTTAGGAGTTCTTCTTATGTGCACAGTGATAAATTCACAAACGTAGTATTCACACAAGTTATTACCTAGTTGCTGCCGTAAACACCACTGTACGAGAAGAAGATTATTCTCATCATCTCACACGTAAATTGAAGTACGATATAGTAATTAAACACGTGGGGAAGTGTATATAGTACAACTTACTTGTATTTCAACTACATTAAGTGGTGCCTTGCAATCCTTGCGATGTTGCCGAATAAACTCTTTCCAAACCCTGTGCGACCAATAATGTATGATCGTTAATAAATTATGGCAAAGTCTATTCAATAATAGTTGTGCGCGAGAGATCGAAATTACCCCCGAATAATGTCTATCATATCTTGGTATAGTGCCCGCTCTTTTCTCAATGAGTCAAAGATTACTAACCGACTTGAGTTTAACTCAATGACAATGAGTATCCAGTGAAATCTGCATTGGTTTATACACACACGTACATGCATATAAGTTGTATTGATATTACATAAAATGTGTAGACGACATTATTATTAACACTTACTCAAAGTTGTATGGGAAAAGTATTGTTGTCTTGTCGTGCTGCTTCACGAAGAACATCATGATATTCTCCTGTGCTTCAGATACCCACCGTTCCTTGATAATAATACCGGTTTTGAATACGATATAAGGATCAATGAAGCCAACACTGGTGTCTTGTATTCTTTGGAGCTCTGACATCTAGAATCTGTATATAAATATAAGTTACATGTGAGGATAATTATATACACGTACGCATGGAAGTGAGTTTATTAAATAAAAGTAAGAATCACTTACAAACAAAAGGAGCTAATGATTGATTTGTCCAGAGCGTCCAAGTGGTATAGTTGATGCAATTCTTCGAAACTAATATGTAAGATGTCATCACCACGGAAGTAATGATGGTCTCTAAATCTGACAAAGATCCACTGCTCGCCCCTGCCACACGCCTACATGTACCACTTGTTGAGCAAGTACATTTGCGTACCCAATTCATTCAGAGTCGCAGGGTTGTACAGACTTTTGTCATATTTATAAGTCTTCCAGGTATCAACTTCCAGGTTCTGGATTGGAGCTTTGCCCGTCAATTGATCCAAGGTTAAACCAGTATCTTCAAAAAAAGCATTAAGGGCTTGAACCGACACTTCTCCGAGTTGTGCGGTCGATAGACTTCTATGTTGGAACCATATTCATTAGCAACAACAAGATTTTGCATTGGTTGCTTCATTGTCCGAGTGTGGGACATCCTTTCCACGATGCTCTTTTCCTTTTCTTATCTGCATCATGTGACTTCACGAGGGAGCGGTCAAAGTCTGATAGTGGCGAAGGCTTACGAAGTTCAATCATCTTTTTCTTGTGAGCATCGACCTTCTGCCTTAGCACATCTCGTGGTATGTAAAAGTACGGCTTCTCCTTAAGCTTCGCTTGACTCTTGTTTTTGATATCTATAAAAAATCTTTCACTTTTTTGTCTTCTTCAGCTGCTATTTGCTCATCAGTCTTTTCAGGAAGTATTTCTTGAGAAATAACTCTTTTTCTCGGGGTCTTTGTCGCGGGACCTTAGACGTCTTTATAGTGCGTCATTTGTGGAGGGGGGGGGGCGGTGTTGGAGACCCGGCGTGGAGGCGATGAGGCCGGTGTTGGTGGAGACCGGCGTGGAGGTGTTGGAGATCATTTGGAGGCGGTGGGGCGGTGTAGGAGTTGGAGATCGTTAGGAGGCGATGGGGCGGTGTAGGAGTTGGCGATCACCGTGGGGATGAAGTCGTCTCACCCCTGCCGATTTGTGATGAGATGGGGAATGAATGATTAGGCTAGGCTGGGGAGACCCCTGCTACAAAAACAAGTTGTGTGTCAATTATTTTTGAAGCCAATAGAAAATTAATGGAAAATAATATTTCATTCACTTTCATTTGTACCTAGGGTGAGGTAGGGGAAGCGGTGGCGCCTCAGAATGATGATGAAGCGTTTGCGCCATTGAATAAATGTCTTCTCCGCTTCTCCTAGTGTCTTCTCCCCATCACCGCCTTCAATGTCAAGAGGAACATTGCTGTAATCTTTGAGCACTCTATCGACCGAGACGCTAGCATATCCAGTTGAATAATCGACCCATGGATTCTTGGTGTCTTCGTTCGGTCTATTGGAGATACAACCCCGATGTACCACCATGATTGATGCATTATTACCATCCGGAATATGCAGCTCACATGTTGTTAGAGGCTCGGTAATGTCATCAACAGGAAGCTCAACCCAGCGGTCGTCTTGAATAATCGGCAGCTCGTAGAAGCACAACCGCTTTTCATCGACCAATGGGGCTAATGGTGACTTCTAGCGTTGATTGCGATTGCATTTGACTCATTGCTAGCTGCACTTGCCTCTTGATCTCCTCCCCGCATTCTTGCCTCAAGAGATTTTTCTCGTTCACATGATTCAAGCAATGCTTGTCGTGACTCATCAACAAATTGCTCCAATGCACGGATTCATTCTGCCTCCTCATCCTTCTTTCTCTGGCGGCTTCTGTAGGTATCCTTGTCTGCTGGGAATGCGTGTATCCACGGAACCGCCCCATAGCCTCTTGTTCAACCACCGTGTTCGGGATTCTCTAGGGCATATGTCAAATCATCCTTCTCTCTGTTGGGCTTGAAAACACCACTATCGCCTTCTTCCCTAGCATGAGCTAGTCTCTATGTTGCTCTCTCAATTTTTGGCCGAAAAATTAGCTTGCGATTTGTTCGGGTCTAGGCTTCCCCATGAGCGTAGAACCAATTCTTCGCGCATTGAGGCCAGTTCTTCTCTATTGTTTCTGTGTATGATTCCCTTGGCGTAATCTCGCTTCTAGGTTACGCCACTTGGGAATAGCACTCCTATAACCACCGATCCCATGCGATGATGGTATTGCTTCGCCGGGCATTCCGCCGATTCCTCATCACACGTTCCTCTTTGTCTTGAGATGTCTTGTATTCTACGAAGGCATCCCAATGGGACTCCAACTTGACAAACGCCTTAGCATTGAAATCCGGCGTAGCATTCTTCAAGATAAACTTTTTATACAATGTCTTCTTCCAACTCTAGAACAATGTTGCCATCTTCTTCATTGTTCAATCCCTCACTAGCTCCTTCAAAGCATCATCTGCTTGTAATGTGAAATGCTGAGTGATCTCTCTCCAAGCTAGGTTCTTGTCACGATCAGATACAAAACTAACATTAGCAGCGGATATCTTCTGCTTCCATTCACGAGCACTAACTGGGATCCTATCCCTTACAATGAACCCACATTGATTGACATATGTCTGAGCATGTGGTCCCAATGGTTTGCCGGTGTCGGTGTCGAATTCTGATATTATGAAACGGCCCTCTAATGGCTTTTTTGGCCCTTGGACTTTCCTACTTTTGTCGGTGGTTGATATAGATCCAGAGACCGGCTACATGAGTAGAAACACAATGATTAACAACAAATATACGTACGCATGCATCTATAAGAGATGATAGATAATCGAATATACCTCGCCAGTATTTTCTTGCGTGACAATTTGTTGATCTTCAACTACCGGCATATTCAGGATATCCTCATAATCAGCAAAGTACTGACTCGTGTCATCACATCCACATTGGTGCCGGCGTTGATAATATCCGCCATTATGTCATCATCCGGAGCAGCCATTTGTATCTTCAAGATAACACATAGATAGAATTACTATGGTACATAACATAAGTACATGT